CCAAATCCCCTAGACAATTGGGGACATTTTTTTAAAGGTGGCATGCATCGAACATCATACTGATAGTTTTTCGTTCAGTGGGATGTTGGCTGTCTGTGTGAATTTTGTCATGCGTGAGGATACATCCTACGCGGGCTGCAGTGGACTGGTTGTTGAAGGCTCCATCGCAGACAACAGCAACAACATTAAACCCAGCCTCAGACACAAGGGCAACACCATCAAGTACTAGCTGTGCTTGCTGCTTTGCATTCAGTTTGTCGATGAGGAAATACCCTATAGGGTGCTTTAAAAACTTCTTCTGGCCGACAATCATCAGTGCCAAAGCCTCAGTTGCAAGCGTGTCACTACCAGAGACTTGCAGATGACCATGGTTGATAAAACCAGCATATTTCTGCGACGTTTGGTCATAAACAACAGCTTCCTTAGGGCATTCGCGTCAAACATGAGGCACACATATGTCATGTCTGGGTCACCCTCAAGCTGTAGTTTCAGTGACGATAGTACATCAGCAAGGTAACGGGGTTGCACATTGTAAGATGAAGCCCATCGTCTTACTGTGTCAGAATGAGGTAGATGAAGGTGTTTTCGAACACATTCATAGGCCTGAGCGCTTTGGTTACAATGCAAGGCTACTGATCATCTCGGGCGGTGTGTCGATCTAGTGTTCCTATAATTTATTTATTTTAGCCCAGAGAGAGAGTATAATTTAACGAATAAACGTATCTAGATCTAGAATCTAAATCTAGACCGAAGTGCATACTTTTGGCTGGGTGCACAACAAAATCTAGATCTAGATACGTTTATTGATTAAATACTCTCTCTCTCTCTCTCTCTCTCTCTCTCTCTCTCTCTCTCTCTCTCTCTCGGCTAAAATAAATTAATTATAGTAACACAAGATAGACATACCCAAGACGGACTAAGACAAGACGAGACAACTCTTCTTTACGTCATGTGACAAGCGCAGGCCCCTCCCACTTTGCCAGATGCGCGTATAACTCGCTGGGCTGGCGATAGTTTACATTGGTTACAATGCAAGGCTACTGATCATCTCGGGCGGTATGTCTAGCCTAGGCCTAGTAAAATTATATATTTTAGCCCAGAGAGAGTATTTAATTAATAAACGTAGCCTATCTAGATCTAGAAACGCTAGGATCTAGATCTATTATTTAGATCTAGAATCTAGATTTTGTTGTGCACCCAGCCAAGAGTGCAGTTCGGAAAGTAGATCTAGATCTAGATCTAGGCCCAGAATCTAGATCTAGATCTAGATTCTAGATCTAGGCCCCTAGTAGTATGAAGTGGTTGGCGAATGACCGAAGGGCGACTCTTGACTAGGCTACTTGCCTATGAATTGGCGGAGACACACTATCATGCAACTTGATTCATACTATCATATCAACAGTAGATATAGATCTAGATATCTAGATCTAAATCTACTTAAGCTTCTGTGCTCTTTTTCGGTGCACCTGTACAATTTTATGGTCCCGTTTAATGTTTACATGACGGCCATTATTGTCATGTGGCAGTGAATCTACAATCTAGATCTAGATTGAACATAAACACCTCTTTTCAGTCTTAGTTTTAATACTTCTCTCTCTAACCAAGGAAATCAACATTCCGAAGTTTTCCCCATATACTTACCTAGTGCTTCTATGCTGCTTCGTTCCTTTGAAGTAGATTTCGCGGGAAATAAGCCCCGCCCACTTCACGAAGAATTCGGGTGCCGAAGAAAAAAGTTTCGCTCCTTCGTGCGAAGCAAAATCTTCGCATGCGAATTTCGGATTCGGTCATGCGAAATTCACATGACAAAAAGGTTGGTTCGAAACAAATAGTTCGCACGTGAAATTCGCACCCGAAATTCGCATCGGTTTTTCGGGCATATGGAATGTCAGCTTTAGTCAGGAGCAACTCATCATCATTATTACCTTTATTTTAATAGAGAATGATAATGATCGCTTCAACAATAAACCAAAACACACACACACACACACACACACACACACACACACACGCGCGCGCGCGCGCGCGCGCGCAAGTCGGTTGTTGTTATCGATCCAGGTACTAAGTCGGTACATGCGATAGTTTACCTGGCAACTAGCATGCTGTGAAGTTTGGTTGTCGCTTTGTGAACAAAGAAAGTTCAAACAAGACGCAGTGACGTGACTCGTGACTCGTGACAGTCTGTTTCTGATACGGCGTGTTTATAAGACGGTAAACGTACAAGTGTTTTGATTGAATTGATCAGAAATATATTGCCTACAAACGAGTATCAAGATTCACAAGGTGAGTAAAATAGTCATTTTTTATGTTATGGTCAGTTGACATTTAATAAAAATCGATGACATTTGCCTTATTGAATTCTTTCAAATCTTAATTCTACTGAGTCTACCACGCGGAGTGAAAGAGAAGGAAGAAAGTAAGTTCACACCTTGTTTACTTTTTTAAAAAACACTTTCATTAGCTGTACAGAAGGAGGAGAGTGTAACCAACAGCTTTGCGTAAA